GCCCACGAGCTCCCATAAACTATATCTCCATAGTCGAAAAGCGACAGTATGAGATTCTGACAAAGGAAATACTTTTGCTTAGGCAGTAAACATTTTTTTAGTTTGGAGATATTTCTTAATCGTACGTAAGCTGCTGTCAATTTTTTCTTTATGTGTGGTTCAAATGATAATGCATTATCGAAGATTACGCCTAGATTCTTTGCTTCGTGAACAATGGGGACTATCTCATTGTTTATACGGATATTCAAGCTACGCTCAATATGAATGAAGTATGAAGTATGAAATTAGATCCCAAAATTAAAGCTTTTGATTTAGAAAGATTGACTTTTAAATTGTGGCGTATGGCAAAACTGTTTACCTCTAGCAGGTCTGAATTAATGTGATTTTCGGTTGTATCTAAATAATTGTCGTTATTAATAGCAATACAAAGATGTGAGTCATCGGCATACTGATGAAGCCTTGCATAAGCAACAGCTTCAGACATATCTGCCACATAAATACTAAACAGCAAGGGCGAAAGGATTGATCCTTGAGGGACACCTTGCTTTACAGGTTTAAATTCAGATTTGAGGCAAACGGATCCTTGAGAAATCAGCTTGATCGAGTACTTAGGTAACTTTTTAAAAAACTTATTGCATTAGGTGAGAATCCAAAATAGCTTAGCTTTGCCAGCAGCATTCTGTGATTTAGAGTATCAAAAGCTTTGCTAAAATCTAACAAAATCATGCAAGTAGCGTTTTTTTGGTCCTCATGCATTCGGACATCGTTTAAAATATTTACCAAGCTTGTAGTTGTAATGTTCCTGAATCCCGATTGATATTGAGGAATGATATTTTGTGATTCAGAAAATTCCGACATCTGAACAAAAATGTGCTTTTCTATAAGTTTTGACACAGAGGACAAAATACTAATTGGTTCTTTAGGCTCGCCAACCTTTGATATGGGTTTCACAATAGCCTTTTTCCAAACAGAAGGGTAAGTATTTTCCAAAAGGCATGTGTTAATAATATTAATCAATGCATTTGCGCAGAAAGGAAGACACAATTTTATGTCTTTGATGGATATGCCATCCTCTCCAATCGTACCTGATGAAATGGAATTAACAATTTTTATTAGTCTGCTCCGATCTATCAAATGAAATTCCAAATTATTATTTACAGCTTGATTATTTTCATAAAAACTGATTAAGATTAATGATGCAGTGTCTCGCATGTTATCAGTCATCTGAAAACATCATGTATCTCAGATGGATTTAAGAGATTATCAGGAAGTTCAGTATGAGTCCTCTGGTTGGTCAGATTAACCCTTCGCGCGTCTTTCCAAAAATCGTCTTGTTTTTTTTCTTGCTAGTTGATTAAAATAGGCAACTTTTTCGCGGATAATAGCATGCTTAGTGAAATTTCTTAGTTGTCTATAATATCTAAGGTGCTGATCTCTTTTGGATATTAAGTATTTTTTATGTGATTTATCTCTAATTTTTATCAAAAGTATTATGTATTCGGTTATCCAGGGAAGAAACGGCATTTCTATCTTAATTTTTCTTGTTTTTAGAGGAGCATGTAAAGGTATCGACCTAAAATTTGTGTATGCAGTACGAACACCATACATTTAAAAATGTTCACATCTCAATCTATACTTGTGGTATAGAAACTGGGACATTTTGACTATTGCAGTTTTCAACACGGTATCTATGTATGAATTATCCTTCTCAAGAAATGTTTGCCTTTGTATTACTCTTCGAGAAGAGATGATTGACAGCGGCAGGACGAGTACCGTCTGACAGATACATTCCACGTTGCGTTAAGGTGCATTTCTGGAACTGACCGCTTTTTACTTTGTCTTTAAGTCCATAGCTTTGACCGCTAATCTACGCAATATGGGCATGATGGAAAAGTCGATTCAACATCGCTGCCGTCAGTATGTCATCATCGCCGCACGTTCCCGACCACTGCAAGAAAGGAAGGTTACTCGTCAGGTTCACGTTTCCTTATACTGGTTTAATATTTGAGGTAAAATATGTTTGAAATACTTAATTCTACTTAAGCTACAAACACACTGAACTTACTGAAAATTGACATTGAAAGTTCAAGTAATACCATATTACCATAGCTATTTAAAGAGCACTTATGTATTGCCCTGAATCAGTTCCCTTAGTCTAGCAGGGACTCTAACACCCTGTATCTTAGTATCTCTTAGGACTTAACTGTATGGGAACCTCTTAAATCATTTTTAGATGTAGTTATGGCTCTAAAAACATAGCCATGGAGAGCAACTATAAAAGCGGGAACATCCTCCATTGTAACTACTGTACTGCTACAGAAGCAACACTCAAGCAAACTAACCCATAGAATTTTTCGCCTTCCACAGATAAGTGATCGCCTACGACGACAGGTCGCGTGCACCGCCGTTTACAGCACCAAGCGACGGTAGATCGACGCGTATAGGCTCTAACATATCGCTTCTTTCCGACAATGAATTTCCGATTTTCCCGAACGGTCATTTATAGCAGATCAGACTAGAGCAGCTCGTAGCATGGCAACCCCATACTGTAAATAGTCTGTGATAGTCAGAAATAGATTTTTGGAAATAAGCAATTAATTTTGTAGAAGGATCGACTCGCTACCGGCATGAGTAAAGTAATTCATACAATACATGAGGCAGAATACATCAATAAGGCTTTACATAAATTGTATATTGGACATTTTCTCTCTACTCTTTTCGGGAATTATATTTCCTTGCCCTACCGGTAATGCATCTGGGGATGTTGCTTCTCCTGGTAACCTCACTCGGGCAGACGTGGCACGATGGTAGCGTAGAAATACAGAGATACACCCTCCCCACTCCCGTACAACCATCCCCAAGTTTCAAACTCCTAACATTTTTATAAAAATGATCAAGGTCATCTGAAACGTCAATAAACGAAGTTTGATACATTTTTACTTTTTTCATTTTGGGCCTTTTTCCCTGCCGCTACTGGAGCGATTTTCAAAAACAATAAAGCTTTTGCGTCGTTATCATAGTGCTAACATTGTGTAATAGTTTCATCGAAATCTGAGCGGTACGTCTCAAGTTATAGGCGGTTATTAGATTAGCGGGCAGACCAACAGACAGACAGACCATATAATATCCAAAAAACATAATCACTCATTTTTGCAAATTTTCGCGATTACAGTGGTCCTGGAATGTAGAAATGTGCCTTCTGATGTCCTGATACGTTACTGGACTAAGTAACGGCTGTTTGAGTTGATCGGATGAAAGAGGCTTCAAGCAACTCGGATCAGATACGAAGTTGATTGTTGACAGAAGCTTTTGGATAAAGTAAAGCATTCAGTTGTCAATACGCCGCGACACAGACTTTAATCACCTTATCCCCTAAGCTTCTATACAGCCGATAATATAATATATAAAATCCTTTCCATAGTACAGTCGGTAGCGGCTTTTTTGATTACACAAGTCGCCAGGTTCTCAATTGTGAAGGAGTTTGATTCAGATTCTTTTGCCAAATGTTTTACGCCTTCCAAAAATTCACTATACTTACCAAAAATTTAGGCAATTTGAAGCTCAATGCAGGGTCCTTCTGCCCTTTCCTACCTATATAACTTGTTATTTGTTTTTAAAGGTACAAGGTCTGTAAGCGAGGCTCTCTGCCCTAAAAATAACTTAAATCGGACGCATCTATGAAGTCTTTGAATTCAAATATTTCAGAATGCATATACTTTAAAGTTTCATCACTAATCACGCCGCTGTCCTGTTCACGTTTCCACAAAGCGTAAGCGTAAAGGTTTTGACAAACATGCGTTTGGAATTAAATTATAGGCCTTTGACTAAAAAGTAAAAAATTGGAGAACGTGTTTCTCGATATACAAAGTTTGGACTCTGCGTCAGTAAATGGAAGGACACTTGTCGTTTTAACTATATGTTTGGAATTTGACAGCGAATTGGTCAATGTAATTTCCAAAAGAGGAACAGAAAAAGGAAACCAAAACTAGTAGCTGAGTATAATAAATGTATGGGTGGTATTGACCAAAATGACCAGATTCAAAGTTATTATTCTTGTGAACGCAAAACACTCCGTAGGCACAAAAAAGTAAGGCATCCACATTTCCCATACTATTCTTATAAAATCTTACTGTTTATTCAAAGAATTTGCCAACTGGGAAGCAATTTTTTATGATTTCAGATTATCCATTATGAAATCCTTGTTACCACCTGCTCCAAAAGCACAACGACCTACTATGATTTCTCATCTCCCAGAATATTGCCCAAAATATTTGAAAGGAAAAGAGAAAAGGCGCAGATGTAAATGTTGTTGGAAAGCGCAAAAACAACGGAAAAATTCACATTTCTGTCCACAATGCCTAAACGAACCTGGACCTTGTCTCACCCGTTGTTTCCGAAATTTCCATGGAAGTATGTAGTTTCATTAAAGTTTTCACTTCTGCTCGTTCTTTGGAATTTTCTTTCATTAAGTGACTTTATTTTTTACTTGTTGTTTTTAATAGAAAAACTCAGTTCAAGGTATACGTCAGGAATTTTCATGAAAGTAACTTTTGTCTTAGTAATACAGGTTTCACTTTTGTTTATTATTTGTATTCTTATGTTTTATGTAAATTTTCACTTTCGACTATTTGACTTACTATGTTTACATGAGCGCATGGTCACCCCACTTTCTAATTCACGTATACAGTGCTTCTCTTAAAGGACCACATTCTTATTTTTTGAAGAGTCAAGTTAGCACGATGAAATTGAGGGCAATGAAATTGTTTCATGAATACTATAATTTAGAGTAAAAGAGGCAATTAAAAATTTCAAGATTGCGGCTGGACGCCAATCCGTAATATTCTTTCAAATGGAATAGGGTCCATGGTATAGTATATAGTACCTCATTCTTAAGCTCTTCATGCGTACTTTTTTAGAATATGGTACAGTTTTTATTATTCTTAAAGGTATTGGGCGATTGGAAATTGCAGAGAACAAGGGAACCGTCACGGAACTTGAAGTTTTTGTTGATGGTATAGAAATTTTATTCAAAATAAACTTAATACAACAATTACACACTATTAGAAAATATTCAGTAATTATTTAAAATCATACAGAAAAATTGGGAAAATGGATGCCAATTTCTTCCTGATGTTTCTTAATCCAACCGTTTGCCATTTGGTTTAATTCATCAGTGAAATAGTCTTCCCAACCACCACTTTTTCCTTTTCGTACAAAACCTGCTTCACCAGTTTTCAAAATGCCCAAGTGTTTGAGAATATCATAGTTTACAGATTTATTATTCCGAAAATTCTCAATATCCAAATGTTTTACCAGCGAGTCGTATTGTTCTCTAGAATAATCCTTGCCGAAGAACTCGGACACCTTTCTGACTGTTGAGGATATATCCTGAAAATAAACAAAAAGTATTGTAATCCAACAAGAAAGAAATAATTAATTAACTTATTGAAGCAGCTATCGATTGTAACTATAAGGATCTCAGTTTGCGTTCTATCGCCCAGTCACAACTAAGACCGCTAGATGCCGTTGTTTCGCGCTTTTTGCAACCTGAGGTATAAGATCGATCGAAATTAGATAGCGCAATAGTGTGACATCTATTACCAGAATCGGCCACTGCGATAGCGAACAACAGCTATCGATTGGATCTTATTTCGCATTTAAAAGCCAAGCCACTACTCTGACCGCTATCAAATGTTGAGGCCAAGCCGAGACCGCACTGATGAGTTGTCAAAAAGGACGAAACATCTAAGCACGGTTGGCCGTCTGTAGTCTCACAGTAATTCAAGCGCCTACCAATTTTTGTGCCACGTAGAATTAACCCCAAATGCAACACAGCAAGAGATTCGACAAAAGGTGGCAACAATAATTATACTGAACTAGAGTTGCAGGTCATCACTTAAAAAGATTATGTTGAAGCAATTCTTGTTTATATATAGTCAATTATAGTTTTTGGAGACCTGTATGCATCAGAAACCATGCGACAATTATTTTCTGAGAGATGATGTCTATAAAGAAACAAAGACTGACAAAAAGAATGTTCATTAGGTATATACTCAAGCAGGATTTCCCAAAACCACAAAAATGTACAAGGGTTTTCATTTGAATTTTTTGAGACAAACTACAACCTGTTCTTATATTATTTTGTGGACGATGCACTTTTAAAAAAAACTGAAAATGGGATATGCATCACATTCCTCAAAAATTTGCTATTCCATCTGCAAAACTAATTGACTTACAAGTCAAAGTTGAGTCTTTTTTGACAAAATATGGCGTACTAGCTCCATAAGTAGCGATCGAAACTCTATAATACATATACTACATCGGCCTTATTCCTTTGGAAAATGCTTCCAGAGTTTGCTAAGATCGTCACCGTACTCCATTTAAAAAAATATGTTTGTCTTACGGTATAGGTATGAACCACCCTGTAGAGAGTGGCAAGTGAGGAGCGAATAGTCATAATTTTAGTAAATAATAATTAGGTAACTTAACAAATGCACGCCGTATGTGTGACTGCTCAGTTTTTATTTCTCGCTCCAACATAGCATATCATATCATGTTGGCACCGACCGAGGTTGGTTCTATTCTGTGAATGGGGTATAACAGCAGATAAGGACCGTCAGATGAATGTTAGGCAAATATTTACGCTTACTTGTCTTATTCGAATGAAATAGTATCAGTGAAAATATTCTATTACGGACAAAAAAAACAAACAAAATAGAAATGGCATTCTATCCGAATTAAAAAGGTATGAGTCTGTATAAAGGTCAATTACTTGGTAAAATGAAATGAAACAAGAAATTAAAATCGTAATATCAAAGAAGCAAGCCAGCATCGTAAAATACTTATTCCATAACCTGAGGCTATAAATAACCATTGTTTTTTTAGTATCTTTCATCAGTACTCCTGTTGTAGCACATCACGATCTATTGTTTGTAACCCAGTGCCGCTATTGCCTGCATACTAATAAAAGATTTACAGGTATACAAATGTTTACTACGTCAAACAATCTGCTGCTGACCGCTGCCGCACCAGCAAGTCTAAGCTATTAACACTTTATGATGTGAGAGGTACAATGTATCCTCATACTTCTCGTGAGGACTGAGTGGGGATTTCTCTAAACGGATATTTTTCCACTGCCCTAGTATACAGAATGTTACTAAAACATGGATTAATATACTAAGTGACATATAAATCCGAACACCCAGTTTAAATGGTTTTATTTTAATAAAATTTTGTATAAGTACTTAATGAAGCATAATAAGTAAATGATAAAAATTTCAAAATGATTGCACTGCTTTAAAGCCCTTTGACCTTTAATAATGTGTGGATGCACCCTGATGTGCTACGCATTCTCCAACGCGCCTAGGCATGCTTCTGATCAGGTGGTCAATGTCCTCCTGTGGTATCTCATTCCAGACAACCACCAACTCCTCTCGAAGTGCTTCTAGAGTCTGAGGAGGACGTTGCAAATTGAGCAATCTCCTACCCATCATATCCCACACGTGCTCAATTGGGGATAAGTCGGGAGATCTTGGTGGCCATAGTAACAATGTGACATCATTATGTTGAAAGAAGTCTATTGTGACTCTTGCAACATGTGGTCGGGCATTATCTTGTTGGAAAGTTGGATCTGCCAGGGTGTCAAGATAGGGTAAAAGATGGGGTTCTAGAACTTCGTAGATATAACGCTGCGCGTTCATGTTACCTCTGATGAAGATTAAAGGTGACCTGGAACCATAAGCTATAGCACCCCAAACCATAACTTCAACAGTGTGATGAACATGTCTTTCAACAAAAAACTGTGGATTCCTCCTTTCACCACGTCGCCTTCTAACCCTGGCACGACCATCGTGCATGCCTAAACAAAATCGAGACTCGTCACTAAAGACAATACTGTTCCATTCCTGATCCCAGAGTGACCGTTGTCTGCACCACTCAAGGCGATTACGTCGGTGTTCTCGAGTTAAAGGGAGGACCCAGTGTGGCCGGTATGAAAACAAGCCAAAACTTCTCATTCGTCGGTAAACACTTCGCATGCCAATAGGTCTTCCGTGTTCTGCAAACCATTCATTTGAAATGGACCTGGTAGTGGACAAACGGTCCCTTAAGGCCAATAATATTAGGCGGCGATCTTCACGGTCTGTTGTTCTACGGCGGCGTCCAGTGCCCCTTGCTCTTTGCGTACGGCCTTCTCGAAGCCATGCCTGACAACACCTAACCACAGTGTCTACGCTTCTTTGCACTCTAACTGCAATTGCCCGAAAAGAAAGTCCAGCTTCCCAGAGTCCCACTATACGGCCCCTATCAAACACACTATGTTGACGAAATCGTACAGGTCTCTGTACTCTAGGCATCGTAACCGATCGTAAAGGATGTCAAGAACCAAAATCCGCCAACGTTGATTCTTTACTGCGGCTGAAATATTCATTTTTAGAGCGTTAGTGAATTAAAAAAAAGCAGTATAAAAACCGGAATGTCCAACTGATAAGGCTGAAAATTTCGGCGCAAAACTGTTCGAAATTACTATCGACAGATAGAATGTAAGGCTCCAATCAATCTTCTCCACATATGCCACCATGGTCGTTTAATGGGTTAGATATGGCAAGTATGTTCCGTCCTCGTCGAAGTAAATATTTAGAATACATATCGTAGTATCCTCGTAGTAGTATCCAACCGCCACGATTTCAAAGCGCGCACGCAGAGAACGAAAGCGGCACCGCGCCCCTCCCCCTACCTTTCACTCCTCACGCCGCCTATAAACCGTCATTCTTTGTTCTCGTGCCCGACCGTCAAGACGTTAATCGGCGCGCCTCGTTTACGTGCTACGTGCAGTGCAGTATCGAGGATTCGCTGAACATTTACAATTAGAAAACAGGACAGAAGGTAGATGTGCATTGTCGAACGAGATACCTACCGACGCGACGGTCGCCTGAAGGTTGCTTTCGTCGCCGACCAAAATTAGAAAGTGGCGTGCAGGCCTCTTTTTCTGAAGGGGCGTCACCATCATCACGTAACTGTCAACTAACCGATCTATTTTAGCTGCAAGTTAAATGAATATTAGTATGGATGCCTCACCGGCGCTGCAAATTGTGCCTAGCATGACGTTTGGGATAACGTTCTGACACAACGTGGACCTGACTTGGGATAGTCAGCTCCACACCAAGGATGAACGGAGACATTTGGGATAACGTTGTAACATTGGACTCGGTTGCTTGAGATAGCAGCATGGACTTAGCTTGTGATAGTCCACACCAAGGACAAATGAAGATGTTTGGAAAAAATGCTCAATACTGAACTGCGTTGCACAAATAACAATACTGAAAGCGTTTGGGAAACGTAGCAACAAGGTATAGTCAACAATCTTTTCTCACTTGCTTGTGATACCATATTTCATCTGGTTTGTGATAACCATGAAACAGGACCGCAAGTTTGAACATGACAGGCTAGGAAGTTGTTAAGATATATTTTTTCCTTATTACCAGATAGAGATTAGGTATGTTATGCGAGGTTAGCGTTACATTTTGCTTGTGATGGCAAATGCCATGTGGTTTTTTGATAACCCTGGAACAGCATAATAAGAATGCACAAGACAGTTTAGGAAACTGTCGAAGTCCCATTTTTCATTAATAACAAATAGAGGTTCATATATGCGAGACTGAGTGGCTCAAACGAAATAAAAAATGGCACATATTCATGCGGATCGGTTTCCCAATCGATTGCAACCAACCCCTCGTGCCTTTGTTAATGTAGTACAACGGGCTCGTGAATCAGGTGACTTAAGACCTCACAGGGGACTGCATGCCGGTGCTCCAAGACCTCACGATCAAATACAGATCCGCACTGAAATACTTGTCGGGAGGATACTTTATAAAACAAGGTAAATTTTTTTTTTATTTTTACACACATATTTTGGTTTATCTTCCTTCTACAATCATCTGAAAATTAATGACTCAACTTCAAAGTCACCCTGTATATGTGAGACTAGCGGTATGTCTTGCTTGGGATAGCAAATTCTATCTGGTTTGTGATAACTATGAAACAATATTGTAAGGATGCACATGAGAAGAAGAAGCCGAAGTACGATTTTTGATTAAAGAACGACAGAGATTAGCTACATCTACGCGAGACTAGCGTTATATTTTGCTTGTGATAGCAAATTCCACGGTTTATGATAACCGTGGAACAGGTGTGTAAATATGAAAATTTCAGGTTAGAAAACCGCCAATGTATATCTTTTTCTTATTACCAGATAAATAATAGGCACCTTATGCGAGTTTAGCGTTACATTTTTCCTGTGATAGCAAATTTCATTTGGTTTGTGATAACCTTGGAATATCTTTATCAGAATGCACATGACAGTTTAGGAAACCACTAAAGTACCATTTTTC